TTGGTGCATATGGCTGCAGAAAGCAGCAGGAGTAGGAAAAGGGCAAAAGTCAGCACACATACTTACATTGACGTCAGACACAACGTTTAAGGTTAAAACTAGAGATTAATTGCTAACTGTAATTATTTTATGCGACTACCTTTTATGCAAAGATTAAGTACATATGCTTTGTGCTTATGTCGTCTACAGGGCTGTTAAAATAAATGTGCACATCCAGATGCGATATTAAGTTAATTAACTGGGATCTTTTAAATAAATTGAAATACATATAAGTCCTTCAATCGAAAAAACAGGGTGTGTACAGGACAGTAAATGCCTGGTTTCATTACTGATAATAAGACCTTTCATTGCACATCAACTAAACTGCACTTGGAGTCCTAGCACTGCAGGACTCCCTTACCATGTAGGTGCTATCACATTTAATAACCTCCACACTGAAACATTAATCGACCATTGATATTGTATTATGTGACATTAAACTCCACAGACTGTAGCATATGTCATAATGTCTTGTCTGTCATCGGGTCTAAAATATGCTTGGCTGCCTTTGTCAACAGTGACCTCAAAGCACCGTAAATCAGCTGGTAGCTTGAAACCTGAGAAACGAGTACATGCACGAGGAAAAGAAGAAAGGAAGGCAGGAGGGAAGGGAGGAGGGACCAGATAAAAGTGAAGAGATGAGTGGGATGATTTGTTCGAGGAGCCTCTGCCAAGTCAGGTGTAACTACCTTGTGTCATATCTCTGCACCTCAGACACATAATCTAGCTGACCCTGATTGCCTCCCTCATTCTGTTGGAGGGTGGCCTACGTTAAAAAGAAATCGGAACTCACATTTTTCTGGATTTCAGTCGAGGAATCCTGTTCTCTGTCATGGGTTGATAACATTTCCGTGATCAAAAATTCAAAAATACATGTCCCTCAAACCAGGATGCGTCGTTCATTGGATCCTTAAAAGTCCAGATATGGAAATCCTTGTCAGCACTGATGTGTGAAGTGCATTTGATAGATCTGAAATGTTTCCCTTCCAGAACAGTTTATGCCCGTTCCTTTTTATATTCTCCATCAGGCAGTCATCTTATCCGTGCATTTCATTATATCTTACCAATGTGTCGCCAATCCAGCGTCCTGACATCACATGTATCATATTCTCAACACCACATTACCACCTCCTCCCAGGCTCCTCTTCTTCTTGTGTTTCCACTCATCCCAAATTGTTGCCTATCTCTTGAACTTCATGACACTTTATCAGCCTTTGGGCCCCTCTGCCCCTGTCGCTCAGGTGTCTCATGTGACTCCCTCTACGGCATCTTGGTTTCAATGATTATGGGACAAGGAGCCTTTGGGTAGTGGAAGGAGCACGCATCCCAATAAACAGCCACAAGAATAGTTCTCAAATGTAGGAGTGCCGGGTTTGGCTTTATGGATCCATGAAGGGAAAGGCGCCTTTGGGAGGGGAGGGGTGCAACCACTTGGATGGCCCCTGATTCACCCATATTGGAGCCTAACAGGATAATTGTTCCTCTCAACGGCTCTGATTTGTTGACTTGTTTTCTGAGGAAGCTTGAGCTCTTTGGAATGAGTGACATATGGAATAATAAGACCTTGAGCACCAGTGTTGATGCCAGAAGTTGCCAGTTTTTTGGCACTGCTCCATTGCTAAGTGTGTGCAGGGATTACTGGTAATGGGCTGGCATTAGTGCAGGTTCCTCCCTGTACAGGACAGAGAAGGGGCCAGTTTTGCAAAGATAGACTTTAATCATGACTGAAATCAAATAGCAAGACCCCAGAGAGATGTCTCCATCCATCTGTTGCACAGGGTAGTCCTACCTATTTTAGCTATGAATTCAGAGTATATTTAGACTCACTTCAAAACAGAACATGTATTAACAAGTAACTGCATTAAAAAGGGCACTCAAAGAGCTCATATGCCCACCAAGGTCCAACAGTCCCCTCAGGAAACCACATTTAAATTCACTAAATCTGGATTTTTCTTTGGATCTGCACTAAATTGCACACACTAATAAATACCAGTCACCTAAATATACCTTGATTCATCACGATCAATGGCATTCTCTGAGAAATCAAATGAAATACAACATCCTACCACCAAATTTTGTGTTGATCTATCCAGTAGTTTCTGCATAATTCTGCTTACTAACAGACAAACAAATAAATACACCTAAACTCTTAGGTGGAGGTAGAAAAAAGAAGTTATACATTTTACATTCATTGTTAGCAAACCACAAATTATGAGCCATGCTCTGCTCTTTTTCATTGTCAATAAAAAGTTATAAAAAAATGTAATTTTGTTAAAAATAAAGTAAAAAAGCCCCCTGGTGGCTGGCTGTAGCATAGGTCATAAACCCTTTCTCCTCCGTGATAGCAGATGGGACATGGGTCAAAATAAAAAGTAAAAGTACACGCCAGATAATGTTTTCTCGAAACTTCTTATCATATTGATGTATGAATCAAGGTTTGTTTTAATTAGTTATTTGATGATATAAAACTGGATGACACATAATGATCGACAGCTGAGACTGACTGAGTGGTCGAGTACGTGTACTTCCAGGACTTCGATACAGAGGTTCCATCCACAGATCGCTACAGCCTAGGCTTCAAATGATGGGATGTAAAATGGCGGCATTTTAATACACTTTATATAAGGTCACACCACATAGCCGAAATTACCATACTACCATCAGTCAGAGACATGATCCTGAGCCTGACTGATGAGTCAGCAAATATACTGAGAGCATTAGAAACCACAGCAGCTCAGTTCTGCTACAGGTCTACAGTTTTATTTGTATTTATTTTAGTTTTTTGTTTGGATTCTTCATCGATTTTTCTACTGGAATCAATTGTGTAACCATTGTTTGGTTAACCACATGTTCTATGAACAAAGTAACCTAAAGTCTGTAATAATTTCATTAAGACTGGACAAGAACTGAGCAGGATCGTGGGCCGCTATGTCCGTATTATTATTAGTTTAACCCATATTTGAAGTGTTTAGGTACTGGGCATCAACAAATCTTCTTGCTTTTGAAGGGAAGCAGTTGTAAACCTCTTGTCACCCCTATAAGCTGCAGGGTAGAAGGAGGCTAACATCCTGCCACCCCTGCCCAAACGCATGTCCAGTGTAGCATTACCTCATACCAAGGCCGTCATCAAGTTCCCACAGGTATGCACTGGCTGCTTGATGGATTACAGACAGATGCAGAGTCGAGTGACTGTGCTACGAGGGCATACAAGAGACAGAGAGAGAGAGCGAAAAGTTAACTGAACCCTGCTCTATCATTTACAAAGACTCTTTAAACACAGCCCCAGTGGTGTGTTGTGCAGAGGATACACACTCAGACTTTATTCTAAAAGCTTCCTCTGTGATTGAAAGGCCTTGGCCTATTTGTAGCACAGGCTGTGTTGATGTGAGCTGCAAGACAAAGGGAAATGAATGGAGAGCTGAAGTGGATGACAGCTTGTTACGGTATTTAAAGCCGCCTTTGTTTACCCAACACCAGAGATTCTTCACCCCTAAATAAGAGCTGCATTTAAAAACTGTTTGCTTATGTTGAGGTGACTTTATTCACATTATAACAGTTCATTCAAACCATCAAGAAAGTTTACAGCTGTGCCATAAAATCGAATCTTCTATTTCACACACCTTTTTATTCCTCTTCCAACCCCATTAAGAAATCCTTTCCTTTCTTCCCCCTTGTTCATCCATAAATCTTCATCCTTGTGTGAGGCAGAGAGGAGCGGGGAGGTGAGGGGGGACAGAGACATCACCGGTGGAATCCAAACAAGTCATAATTCTTATCATCATCTATAACCCAGGGTTATATGCAGCCGAGCCCGTCCCTCACATTCCCGCCACAGACTTGCATGTCTAATCTCTCTGTCCTCGGCCACAACAGGTTTAATGCATGACTGTAACAGCATGCATAAGCAACAAATAACACAAGAACGTCAGCACCTTTAAAGGTTTATCAATTTGTCTCAGTGGGAGTAACATTATGAATGACCTTTGTCTTTGTATGAGTAGGGCTCAGTGCACACTGCAGAATCAAATGAAGTCAGAGGAAAAAGAGGAAAATACATGGTCATATAAATTCTGTATTGCATCAGTACTTCAATAATGAAACAACACAGAATGCCTGCCTCTGAAAAGACGACAGCAAAGTTGTCCTGAGACCAGATCTCAGATCACAGCTATTTTAGCAAGGGTTTTTTGCAATCGTATAAAATTTCACACTATTGACAGATCATTTTCTACAGATTTTGTCTGTTCTTCAACGTCACTTTATTTTGAAAGCAAACATGTATTAGAGAGGAGTAGTTAAAG